TTTATATCTTTTCCAATTATTAGAATTTTTAAAATTAAACTAATTTTTATAACAAATCTTTTTATTCTTAATCTTTTCTTTAACATTTGAATTTCACCACCAACTATTTTTACTATTAGAAGCTTTTCCCTTTGATACTCCAAGCACATCTTTTGCAATATTCTTAATATCACTAGCCACTTTTTCCCACAAAACATTAGCATCCTCATGCACAGATAAAATCTTAAGATCTAAAATCTTACTCTCAAAAATATTTTTGTTAATATTCTTTAAATGCCCCCATCTAATCCTAGAATATCATTTTACTTTATATTTTATTATATGCCCCTTTATCTTAAAGTCCAAAACTAATAATCGATGTTGGGTACATAAATTTTTACTCTGAATCACTTTACAATCTTTGCAATCTAAATGATCTAAATTTCTTATAAGAAAATAATCAATCTGGGTTGTACTACATCCATTTTTATAAGTGATGAGATGTTCTTTCCTTTTCTTAAATAAGGTATTAGCAATTGAAAAATCATAAGCTAAACAAAAATCTAATATGATCTTGACACCTTCATTTGTTGTTCCAAAACCATAACCATCATGAATGCTTTTAAAATCATCTACCTCTCTACCAACATGTCCATTTAAATCTCCTCCAATAAAAACTCTTTTTTTAGAGGTATCTTTTGTAATAATTCTTCTAAGACATTCCAAAAAATTAATTTAGAACTCATATCAAAACCTACTTGAGAAGCATAAGCACTTATAATATTAGTAATCTTAGCATCAACAATAATCTTTAAAGCTATAATTCTATCTCCAATCCTATTAATTTTTATAACATTATCCTTCAAGCTCTTATCTATAATAACACCTACACCAATTCTAGTACGACTCCTACCCGAATACCAAAGTTTAAATCATAAACTGTCAATTTCCTTAGCCTTCTCTCCAACCCATTTAATTTTCTGAAAGCACAAAATATTTATCTTACTATGAATCATAATATCTATTAATTCCATTAATTTTCCTGTAAGGGGACCTATATTCCAAGTTCCTATCCTAATTTTAGTTTCTTTGCCCACATCCATCCTTGATGTGGGAACCCTTGCCTATTTAACACAAAACCCGAGCGCCGGTGCAGCGGCCCTTGCACACTTGTCACTGTATTCAGGCCATACAGCGCGTCGCTTCCAGAGGACGCCCTAACATTAACACAATTTCTTAAAGGATTCATGTCATTATTATTCGAATAGTTTTACGCTAGCTGTCGACTACCTAACGCAACCCTCCACTTTTTTCATCGAGGACTTGGGACCTGGCAACGATAGTGTTATCTAGCTGACCCTCTTTTGTGGAATAAATATTTGTTGTTGTTGTTGTAAATGTTTCCGTGAGTCTAGATTGCATAACAATCTCCAGGCCAACAATGACTTAAACCCATAATATCAATTTACTAGCAGATTTCTTAATCATCCTCCAGATTCAAACTCTGCGTAACATTCCTGAAAGGTTGAAACCAAATCTTTTTACTTGCCATCATCATTTCAATTTTACATGCTTACACTAACAAGTGCTTACATAAACAAGCAAGCATCCTTGAATAAATTCACATTAAACTTACAGCTACCAATGACTCCATCATCACTTGGTCTTGTTGCCCTGTTTGAGCTGTAACGCCTTTACAGTAAACAGGGCAGCAATTGTGAAAGTTGGAACAAAGACGACATCAGGCACAAGATCAAGGCGAAACCTCTTGAGCTGTGGCACATTCTGGCTGGACTTCTTTAACACCATCAAGGTGGGTGGGACCACCAGTCCAGTCATGATGATTGTATCGCCAGTTTTGATCTCTTTCACATTCTTCGTCAAGAGATCAAGCACCAAGTTCTTACGTTGCACTTCTTTTTCACCAGTACCTTTCAAATTAGACCACTGCTTATAGCAAGCCTGCCAATTGGTAGCAAAAGTATTGTATAATGCATATTGAAATACGATATCTGTATGATGTGAAATATAAGAAGGGTGTTTTATGAAAGGATGTAATTGATTTTTGGCAATGTAGTTATGGAGAAAATCTGTCTAGTTCGTTAGCTGCATTGGAATTCATTTGATGCATTAGATGTGCCTCCTATTATTCAAATTAGTACTTAAAAAGTGTTCATTGTCTGCTGAATTGATCATTTTATGTACAGATGGAAGACAATAAAAGTAACAGTTTTTAATACTTTCAAATTCTATTTATATACATAATTTAATAATTAAAATGTCTATCAAACTCAAGATTAGGCTGATGATAACGGTCCAATATAATACAGTGTAAGAATAAACTGCCGCAGGTCAAGTAAATAATTCGCATAGTGTCAAATGAGGATGCATAACTTGTTTCAATTATATATGAAAGGTAATTATAGGTGTCTTTTTAAGTGTAGCAGAGCATTTCCCTTGTTTATTTACTGCATATTTGACTTGGTTCTTAATGCATCGTGTATATTCGCTACATATATTGAATTATTTTATTCAATGGGACTACATAAACAACCATATCCATGCTTCTCACAACACAAATTATAGCCTCCTTCTCAAGCATTATGTTCAACATTTACATCCAACCCAGCAAAATGATTATAAAAGTTGATTGAACTGACCTTAATATCTTCATTTGATGGTGGTTTGTAATGCTTCCCAAGCATTACTGAATTAAAATCACTGCAGGAAAATAAATTGAAATAAACTAATACAGCTTTGCAAAGGGGAGAGGACAAGTTACGGAATATCATTATGCAAAATTAAAAAAAAAAAAAAAGGTTATGTAAAGTCAAAAAAGAAATTTAACCTGAAATAACAAATTCTCACCTGCAAAGTTTAAGAAAGTTTATATGGAACTCGTCAAAGTTTTTTATTTCATTGCTGGGAAAATATTTATCAAATACTTTATCTGCTGAAAGAGACTTGATTCCAGTGAGTCCTGAGAATTAACATTAGATTCATAATTTGTAATATGACAGCAACAAAAACAACAAAAACATATAAATAATATTCATTTTAGGCATGATACCTAGGGTAAAGATAAAACTACCTAACAACACCTGTAGATTCTTTGCTAAAAGCAAGAGGCTAAATTGAAACAAAAAGCTAAAAATAATATTGAAGGGAAAAGTATATATACAAATGCATGCTATTTAAATGAATCAACCATAAATAATGATTGGCAATGGTATCATCTTCTTCATCATCATATGATCACCATTACCCCTATCCCATTTATTTAGGGTTTTTTAATAATCGTCGGCTTCGTTTGGGACGACCTTCTTGCTGCCTCTTAAAGAAGCTTTCTAGTACAAAAATTAATTTTTTTTTTAGTAGAAAGTAGTTTTGAGAAGCAACTAGAAAGCCATCCCAAATGAAACCTTCATCTCTATCATTTCTGGTGTAATGCATGCGATCTTTAATCTATTTTTGCAAAAAATTAGATTTGCAGTTTTTTAAACTATGAATGAAGATCACATTTAAGTTATATGTGATGCAAAGCTCATTGGTTTCATCCTACCTTGATGCTCTTTAAGGTCCCAGTTGATTGATTAAAATTTGCTAAATTTATCATTTGGTTGGGTGTAACTAGAAATCAACATTAGCTTTTAAGTTCCAAAAGCCTTCTTAAAACTATCTCAGATATAATGATTTAAATTCCACCTACAAATGAATGAAATCGAAATCTTCATTAGCGAACACATGTTCTAAGAGGATTTCATCGTGTACAAAGAAATATATCGATAACATTTGAAATCGGAAAAAAAAAAAAAAAGGCCTCAGTATCACCTATGCATCTACGTACTAAAATGATGGGTATGTGATACCATAGATTAAAGATTAAGTCCTTGCAATGGTGCCACGGCAAGACCAAACTAAAAATCATATAACCACTTGTATCAAGATTCATAAAAAATACAAACTCAAAACTGCTGAATAAATTGGTGAGTATAGCCAGAAGGAGATTGAATACCAAGGCTCTGAAATATGCTCATAGAGATACCCATTGGATTGGTTTAGCAGAAAGCCTAGCCTAGGATCTTGCCTTGTGTTGTATTCTGTGACTCGACCCCTTTCTCTCTGTCTCTCCCACCCAAATATATAGAGAAAGAAAACATAGCCGTAGTGAAATAGAGGAAGTTTGGAATGTGTTCCTTTCCCTCTTGCCATTTCACTGTGAATGTTACTCCTCTGATTTAAGCCCTGCATGAGAAGTTTTGCATGCTTTCAGGGAATAACATGCTGCAGTCAAGTTGTTTAAACCGGCTAAGTTACGCACAGGGTACAAATACTCCTACATACTATCTGCTTTCTATCTATTAAAAATCATCCTGATGAAAAGTTAGGTTATTATCTCGAGCTAATATGCAGCTCATCTTGATCTGTTGGTTGGGAGCTTTGGCTACAAATCAAGAGGTTTTGAGTTCGAGCCTTGTGTGTGCAAATTTGACTTAATTGACGTAAATGTTCCCAAAAAACCTTTAGTGAATTTCAATTATTTATAATTAACTTCATGATTTTTTGTTTTTTATTTTATCTAGTTGTATAGTGTCTGAAATGTTATTTATATATAATTATGATAAATAATTTTTATTAGTGTAATCATCGATCTAGCTCTTCCCCAACAAAATTCTTTGACAATAATTTATATATTTGTCTAGTTTTGAATTTTCTACCATTTAAACTATCTAATATTATTTTTAATAATCTCATCTGCACAAAATATAATTCCGATTATTTTTAATATAAAATTTCCTAATTCATTCTTCTTATAAATTTGTCACTTATCCTATCTTCAACATTATTATTGCATGCTAGGAAGCCATAATGTTATGTTTTTGTATTGAATGAAAATCCTGAACACATGTAAATAAATGCAATTCAATAGAGATTGTTGGATTCAAATTTGTCTATGGGTGACACCAGATCTTTTTTGAAAGAGAGCTATGAGGGATATGGCTTGATAACTTATGGGAGAATGGAGAGAAAAAGAGGAGAAACTTTGAGACAAATGATACATTTGCTCAAGTGTCTGTAGGAAACTCCAACGTATAAAATTAATTATTTTCATTGTTCATTTTCACCCTTGTAGGAATTAGGGGGCTATAGAAATAGCTAGATCAAGAAAGAAATAGAAAGTACAATAATTAAGAACCCTATGTAGAAACTACCTTAAACATGTGTCATTCTTTAGCTGGCTTGATGAATGATTATTGTATATTTGCATAAGCATTCATAGGTATTTAACATGTAATCGAAAGGTTATAAGAAAAGGACTCACGTCTTATGGGCACCACATAGGAACTCACCGAAGGAACAACACGCCCCACTTGCCTGGGCCTATGAAGGAAGGTTATCTCTTTCGAGGGCAATGGATCGAGAACCTCGTTGCATAAGTAACTTGCAACCCACCACATGGAAGGGTGATAACCATCATAATGACCCGGCCCAATTGGGGTGGTGCCTTTGTCTCCAGACATCTAAGTCTAGCTATAAGAAATCACCTATCCAGAAGGCCCTCATCTTGCCCTAATGTGACTAGTCAACCTATGAGTTCATATTTTCCATAATCTCAGCTCATACACTTTATATTATAGGTAATCAAAGGCTTAATACAGGTCACTAGTGGCTCCTTGACATCACTTAGCCAAGAAAAACTCATTTCCTGGGACTCACTTGCACACTCACCCACTTCCACTCATCACTACTAAGCTCTCCCACATTATAGAGTTGACATATAACATTCTCAACATTATTGAGCTCACTAGGAGATAAATTATCAAAGCTCTACACTCCCTTGCTATCTCTTAGGCAACAATGAGATGATGCGTATGTAAGGTAATTTGAGTAGCATTATATTTTTTTACTTTTTGTAAAACCCAGTGAAGTGACACACAGTTGTACCTATTTTGGTTAGGACTGGTAAGGGTAACCCATTGAAAATTTTGCATTCATGTATTCTGCATTTGTATGTAAGTGTTGTGTACACGATGTAACAACCCTATTTTTAAATATTATGAATTTCTAGATTTTTTTTTTAGAAAACTGCATGGAACATTATGATGTTGTTCTTTCGGGTGCAACAACGTTGAGAAACACTAGAGAGTTGTGTCTAAGTGTCACTTCTTTCTATTATGTAGCAACTTTAGAATTGCATGTGATGCATCGGTGCTGGATCACTTGTTCCAAGCACTGAATTGAGTTTTTATGTATATTCCCAGACCTAGGCACTAAGCCTCCACCAACCATCCCTCTTCCCCATTTGTGGCTTGTCAGACAAGGAAGAAGAGTGAGGGAAAGGGAGAGGTAGAGGAGAATGGAAGAAAGAGAAAAACATATTTTGGTCATTAGTCTAGTTGTAAAAAGTTTTATGATCATTGTAAGTAAGCCAAATCCCATTTTAGTTTTCAATGATTTTGTATTTGTTGATTTAAATCTTCCCAAAAGTAATAAAATTATATTTTCTCCTAATTTATTGAGCTTTTACTATGTAATTTATTTTGTATATGATATATATAGATTTTATAGTCTTTTTAGTTAGAATATTACTGAATTTCATAGATAAAATAACTATTATGATTTTTTGAGTGATTAAGCTAGTTTATTTAATTGTATATTAATATGAAATGATAATTTAAATTAATTTTTAGGGCATAATTGCATTATAGTAGATTAGAGTTTTGGTATATAACTAACTAGAACATTGGCAAGCATTTTGTTATAGTGAATTTACATTTTAAATGATTATTAAAATTCATGTAAATGATATAACTAATGGCTTATCAACATAAATCATTACATGTAAGTAGGGAAGGCTAGTTATTAATATTATAAATAATGCGGATTAGCTATTAAAATGATAATACCCTATGTAAGAGGGTGGTCCAACAGGTTTTCCTTTAAAGATGATTTGTGGTGTTATCTCAGCTGTAGCCTATAATTGATGATTGATTATGTTGATGAGTAGAGAGTGATGATTCTTTATTAATAAATGAAAGCTACATGAAATGTTAATTGACTTAATGAAAAAATGATAAGATTACTAGATGACAGATGAAAAGATAAAAACATCTTGGTAAAGTTGAATGTCATACCTTACTGAACCATATGATATTGATACAAACATTGAGAACGTATAGAGTAAAAGATAAGGAACTAATAACTAAAGATACATAACATACTAATGTGACACATGTATGTTCATTAATCATCTCATTGATAGAAGGATAATATTAAATGATTGTAGTACTGATTTCCTAATGTATCGATTAATTTTTTATTGATGCATTTTCTTTCTCGCACGTGTTATGGACTTATTGATTTCAATGTAATGATTCCTACATTTTTTTTATTATCATATTTATTCATAGTATTGATGACTGATCATTGACAGATTGTTGAAAGCTATGAATTTTATTGATTTAGATGAGCATGCATATTAATTTCGAATACATTGCATTAAAAGCATTAATGAGTTTTAGGTTTCTAGTGTCCTTTGTAGGCTCATTATATAGTTTTCTTTATTTCAAGTCGGGGAAGGGGTTAGGACATTGTGGATTGAGGTTGAGTGAAGTTTTTAGATTTTTTTAATATATTTTTTGTGTTTTATGTATCCTTTTGTACTCAAGAAGGTTGTTATAGATTATTGATTATAATGATCTCTTGGTTATTGTAAATGAGATTTTGATGAAAGAATATATTAAAAGATATTGACATATATAATGTTTATTTACTTCAATTAGATTAATTAGTTTACATGGATGATTTTATGAAGGCTCTAGTAGATAATTAAAAGATAAAAATAGATAATCCTTCTAATTTTGGTCTTGGGGTGTTATATATGAGGGGTGTCAGAATTTATTTTAAAGTGGGTCCTAGGGGTCTATGTTCATGATTTAAAAATCTAAAACTTTTCCCCTAGGAGGACGAGGCTTTCAGTTAGGCAGTGTTGCGGTATTGGGTTCTTTATTTTTTTTTGGTCAGATTAATTTTTAGCTACGATGTTGGGGGAAGCACTGCGGTTTTATGGTCTCTAGTGGAGAGCACCACGGCACTATAGGGATGAGCAGCATGATGCTTGACAGTAATCTTATTAAAATTTTATTTTCTACTCATTTAGTATTTTATAAAAATCCACTCTTCTTATTCCTGTGCAACTGATTAGAGAGATAGAGAGAGAAAGTTTGAGTGCCTTCAATTTATATCTACTATAACAAATAGCTTAGTGATTTAGCTATTTTTTTTAAATCATTATGAAATGCCTATAAAATTCATCATAACTTAAAAAGCTATGGGTGCCCTTAACAGAAGTAGGAGGTGGCAAATTTTCAATCACTTTAATCTTCACGTTACCAACCTTCATACCCCTTTTAGAGATTTTATGTCTTACGATAATGCCTTCCTTCGCCATAAACTATTATTTCTGCTAATTTAGTATAATATCAATTAAAAGAAGAATTAAAAAGTGACATTCTTAGCCTGCAACAACAAGAAGAGGAGGAAGGTGGTCTTAGTTCAGACAATCTTGCTCTTTTGAGAAGTAAGGTGCGTGAGCTTAACATAACTTTGCTTAGAATATCTACATGGTGGAACCAAAGAGCCAAGACCACCTGGAATGAAGAGGGAGATTCTAATACTCGATTTTTTCTTGCCCACGCTACAGCCAAAAGAAATGGTAATCTAATTAGACAAATTAAAGACGACAATAACAAGTTGGTGGAAGATATTGAAGAAATTGATAAAATCTTCTTAAATTACTTTGAAGATAAGTGGAAACTTCGGCATTGCAATTTTCTAGACTGGACTTATGCTGATCCGAATTAGATTTTAAATGAAGATGACAAAACTTTTTTGGAGGCGGAATTCACTCAATCTGAGTTCTACAATGCAGTTTTTCAGCAAGCATCTAATAAATCCCCTGGAATTGATGGTTCTAAAGCTTCTTTTTTCAAATTTTACTGGGAAACAATAAAAGAAGTTGCTTGGAATGCTATAAACAAGTTTTTCACAACTGGCCAAATGAATGGTGCTTGGAAAGACACTTTGGTTGTTCTCATCCCCAAGATCACTTCACCTATCTTACCTTCTAATT